GAGGAGGCGTGAAAGAGGCTGTAATGCCTTTGCAGGGGACACCATTTAACACCTTCCGCTTGCTATGATAACCTTTAACTGGGGGCAGCTGGGACAGGCATTTACCTCCTCATTTTCTTAGATATAAATGCTGTCTCACTGCAGTTTCATTTTACAATATGGTAATATGCTATCCAGGAAAGTCTTACTACATGCTAATTTATCCAGTAGGCAAATTCCTTTTGGCTAATAAAAGTGCTTGCACAGGAAGCTCAAAACCCAGCAGCAATTAATTATTGACAGAGCATGTGAATTAGAGATAAAAGAAAAGTCACTCTTTCTCACACACAAGATAGTAAATAAATTTAATTATTGTACTAGAAGCAAGGGATCTTATTCTGTATTAAGTTTTATTAGCTGAGACATTTAAAAGCATGTCATCATAACAAAAAGGTCTTGTGTAATCCTAACTGCACCACTCTGGTACAAGGCTCTGAAGTGAATAGGCTTAATTGAGCAAATGGAAGCAGATGGCTTGCTGAACAGACAGGTATTGTACCGGTTTATTGTCAATTAACTTTTGTCTACATATGCCTATGGCGAATTGACTGTATAATGTGTTACCAAGGCTGATTTAACACTTCAGGTGCCCACCATGTCCAGGGTACAAGAAGAAACAAAGCCAGAAGTGCTTTGGTCCCCTGGGCCCGCAGGTGTGGCAGCATCCCTCCTCCTGAACGTCCTGCCAACATCTGCATGGGGCAGGAGGAACACCGAAGTGTCCGCCCGTGCCTGGCCCCTTGCTAACCACCCCTCCTCTGCTTCTGCACAGGAACGTGATGCCCAAGACGCTGGACGGCCAGATCACCATGGAGAAGACCCCCAGCTACTTCGTGACCAACGAGGCCCCCAGGCGCATTCACTCCATGGCCAAGGACACGAAGCTGATCGTGGTGGTGAGGAACCCGGTCACCCGGGCCATCTCAGACTACACACAGACACTCTCCAAGAAGCCAGAGATCCCGACTTTTGAGGTGCTGGCCTTCAAGAACCGGACCCTGGGGCTGATTGATGCCTCCTGGAGCGCAATCCGCATTGGGATCTATGCCCTGCACTTGGAGAACTGGCTCCAGTACTTCCCCCTCTCCCAAATTCTTTTTGTCAGTGGCGAGAGGCTCATCACTGACCCAGCCGGGGAAATGGCCAAGGTCCAGGACTTCTTAGGCCTCAAGAGGATTGTGACAGAGAAACATTTTTATTTTAATAAAACCAAGGGATTCCCCTGTCTAAAGAAGCCAGAGGACAGCAGTGCTCCCCGGTGCTTGGGCAAGTCCAAGGGTCGAACTCACCCCAAAATAGACCCAGACGTCATCCACAGACTGCGGAAATTTTACAAACCCTTCAATGTCATGTTTTACCAAATGACGGGCCAAGATTTCCAGTGGGAGCAGGAAGAAAGTGATAAGTAGAACCATGAAATCGGGAAAAAGGCTTTTTTCTTTTGAGGTGCGAATCATCGTTAGAGACCCAAAACTCCCTTGGGGCTAGAGGCTCAGCCTTGCAAGCACAAGACTCGTGCTGTCAGGGTTGCAGCCAAAGCCGTTCCACGTTTCCAGCTCTGAAACCTTAGTGGCACGTCACCTCGGCTTGCACTTGGGCTCTCCCCCTGTGACGCTGAGGGATCAGGGGGCGCGTGGGAGGAGGAGGAGGTGGAGGGAGCGAGGCTCCTCGGGGTGATGGGATGCTTCGCGTCAACATTTTGCTGCTGGTGTCCCCCTCGCAGCCAGGCAGGCAGGACCAGCCCCTCCTGCCACGGCTAGCTGAGTGGGAAGGTGGCTTACAAAACCCAGCAGCACTGGGACAAACCCATAGATTTGATTTCTCGTGCCCTGGCTTTTAGTTTTGCCCAAACAGCAGCATCAGATCTGGTAAATTCAGGACACGTGCATTCACATGCACACTGGTATTTGTGTGTGGAAGGAATAAAGCCAGTTATGCTGCAAAGGAACTATGTACAGAAACTTCATTTGCACCAGACGTTTCAATTACTTGTTGCACTAAAACTAGTATTTACCAAGTGCCACAAAACACCTGGGCCCGATTCTC